ACTTTTCTTCAGCGGGTCCTGGTCCTTGCCATATAGGGGAAAACGGGTCCGCACTATAGTAGCGTGCCTCTTTCCTCGGTCAAAACTAAACAGGGGGGGGGGGGCTCGAGAATAACGATCCCGGATAACATCCCCATACTCCGGCCGCGCTGCCGCCCGGCTAACCAAGCGCCTAGCCATAGCCAAACGCGCTAGTTGTCTGTACTGTCTAACTTTTACAACACTCTAGCTGTTCCCTACAACTGAGTATGTGTTTCGCTGCGAAAGTTTGGTATCGATGCGAGGGCTACACTTTGAGTCAAGCACGGATGGAGATGGCGCTCGGGTATTATTACCATCCAGTAGCCTTCTTGTGGACTTTTGAGCGGAGGGTGTGGCACACTAGTGAAGCATGGCAAGAAAATTCCTCGGAGATGTGTGTGCAGTTTGTCTTTATGCAGTTGTGTTGCTGTATTCTGGACTATCAACTGTTTGTACACAGGCTAAAGTACAAATTAAAATACAAAATTTTTTATACATGTTTTTAGGGCGGCAGTGGACTACCCGAACTCACTGTAGTGGACGCCAAGACTCCCGGTGCTAGCAGTGAGGCGCCAGATCTGTTGAAGGTTGTTTTTCTATACTCTCGAGTAACAAGTATGTGATAATTGTTGTCAGTTCAGGTAGTACGAATTCCGACCGAGATGAAAAAAGAAGACAAGGACTGTGGACAGCAAAATGTCGAAACAGTGCAACGGAATGGAACCACATCCATGATGAAACCACTACAACCACCTCCAGCTGTAGTGAAATTTCAGGTAAACTATATCCTGTAGCTATATTGACTTTTGCCTACTTTCACTATCAGCCCCGTATGCATCCCATCCATTGAGCACGATCCACTATCACATCAAATAATCAAAACATTAGGCTCCGCCCTAGAATAGAGGAACATCGAATGATTTTGCTCTGTAGAAATCTTATAATGAATGCGCGGTACGGTTTCACTCTCTGGAATTATTCTAGCGCTGAAGTCAACAACTGCGGTCATGTGTGTTTTTATGTGTTACTACTTGTAAAGTGGAAGGTAATAGTTTTGCGATTAATTTTTCGTCGTTTTCAGCAACTAGAGGTCGCTCCAGGTGCTCACACGAATTCTTCTCATCCCCAACAATCACACCAACCAGCACCCCCTTTCGCAGATAGTGGCCAGTTCAATGGTGAAACAAATGGGGAAGAGCCTTTCACGTGAGTGAAAAACGTTACCTTCAAGTTCATTCATACTTAATATTCTTTTGAACAATTTTATTCTTTTCAGTGGCGAAGCAAAAGAATTTGGTTTTGAACCAAAAGTTGAGCCAATCGATGACTACTCTTATGGGTTTGGCGAACACATGCGCTACGATCCTTCGAGTGAGTATTATGGCAATTCTTACGTACTTTTCAAGGAACTTTTGCTACTATTTGCTTTTAACCAAATTCATTTAATCATAACTTGCACTCTCGTTCGCTGCGGATGAAGGGGCGTGGCAGGCTGCATGGCGTGCCTCGGCGTCAATCCCGTTCTCTGCCAGTTGCTGAAGTGGGTATGGGTAACAATTGGTAGGAAACGAGTGATACGAACGATATGATACAGTCTTGTCACTTGCTCGCTTCAACAACTGGTGGAGAACGGTTTGGCACCGCGCCAAACTCATCCCGCCTGACACGCCCCTTCGTCCGCAGCGAACTAGACTATATATGTTCATTTGTCATAAGACCGTAAAACCCTAAAGAGTTTTGCAGACTTGGGTCCTACAAGGTCGTGGGTATAAATTTCCGGTGCTGCAGAAGTTTTATTGAACCCTGAGCCAATAATGTCTTATGTGAAGCCTGGATCGAATTATTTTTTGCAGTTCCTGGAAAATTTGCTTGGACATAGGCCTCGAATATCGAGTGTGCACTAGTGCAAAGGCAGAGCACAAGATTACGGTTACTTTTAATGAAGCAAAATAGAAAGCGAGGGCGATTCCTTACTTGTTGTGGATAACGGCAATGGTGCTTATTTAAAGTATCTGGGACTCCAATATCTCCATACTTGAGGGCTCTATTGCAATATGCGGCTTTGGGAATTTTCGGTCGGAAAGGTAGTCCAAGATAAACGCAGTCCATATCTCGGGTCGAAAGGGGAATGCCCACGGGCTTGGGAGTAAGAGCTGCAGTGGGTAATAGTCGCCAGTTTAGGGAGTGAGGGGTACGTCGGCGTCTTTTTCTGGCCCTGTGCGTTCTCTTATGCCCAGCTGTCTACATTTCTATATGAATCTGTAAATATGCATCGCCGCTGCTCAGACATGTAAGTCCGTAGACAGTCCCTTCCAAAGTCGCGATATGAGCTGTTGACAAGCTCAGTGGTTCTGTTAAAGAGGATCTTGTACTTAAGTCAGAAAGTTTCGGAATTGTGATAGCATATAGTCAGAACCTGGGAAATGATAGTGCTTTAAACAGGGCTTGAATTGGAGCGGCTGACTCAAATGGGCATCATTGGTGGAGAAAGCCGCGCAGGCAGCGCTCCAATCCAATCCACTTGCTGATCTCGTAGTCGAAATCCGATGCTATAGTCGACAGGTTGTGCAAAATGAGCGCCGACTGCTCCGGAGGGAACGGCAAATTACGATTGTCTTGACCGTCTTCTGGAGAGAGGTGGCGTCAGCACTCCAGAAGAGTGGACCGCGCGACTTAGTGGGACAAATATTGAATAATAGGAACAAGATGGTAATGATTACTTTGTTTTCAAGATGGCGAATTCAATGTTTCGAAGTATCAGTCGATGCCTAGCGGAGACAGTGAAAAGGGTAAGTAGTTGACGTTTTTTGCTCAATAATTTTTACTGTTTAATTGCACATTACTTAGTCTGTTTTTCTGTTTCCAGCGGTGGTTGTTCAGATGGAAGGCGATGCTATGCGGAAATACTCACAACGAAATGTGAAAATTCCGATTCATGAGCGACCGTACAAGTGTCCACGAGATGATTGTGATCGACGCTTTTCACGAAGCGATGAGTTGACGAGGCATATTCGAATACACACAGGGCAAAAACCATTCCAGGTAGTCACAGTATGCTTCTCGTCTCGCGTTTTTGCTTCGATTAAGAACAGTCGCCGCGATCACAGTGTAATAGGTGCCAGGTGTCAGTCCGTACTGCATCCAGTAGGGAAAGAGTAAAAAAAAAAGGTTTGGAAACACCCCTGAGGCACGAGGCCGTCCCTAGGTAGGGGACCTCAGCCCTTTGGACGAGTTCATCATGAGGACGAGCCCAGTCAGCAGGATTCTAGGTGCAACCTATTCCCGTCAAGAGCAGAGGAAATCGCCCTGCGACACTCCAGGCAACACTATCGTACACAGCGAATTTCCCCTGTATAGCTGTTGTCATCGCAGGGTTTAGATCCGGTTTGCATCGGTTTGCAAAACCACCGCGTACTCTAGCTTCGAATTGTATATTCCTGTGCGAAGTAATCGACCATCAATCCAAATGCACGAGGCAGCATTTAGCTTGATCACTTGATGGCGGGAAATGTCTTCAAAGGCAAGCGGCACGGTAAATCTGCAAGGCGTTAAGGATAGCAGGACAAAGTTTGGTGCCTCTGATAAGGTGCTGTAAGGTGCCTTTTTCAACGACGGTATCCCTTATAACGCCCGATCAAGCTATAATATGCCGCCCCGGACGCCCACCCAATGGCTCGCCTACGATTTTCCCTGCAGTCCCATCGACGCTGGTGCTTTTATCGCTAATGAAGTAAGTGAAGCTCGTCCGAAAGTAGTCGTCCAATGTCGTGCAAAACGAATATCGTGCAAAACAAATGTTTTTTTCGCAGGTTTTTTTTGACAGATTAACTTCGCTCTTTTCATTTCCCCACTGAATAGCACCCTTGCTACTTTTTCTGAGCAAGTACCAAATTATCGTGCCTTTTGCCTTCAACATTGCTTCATGAAATTTTGCCGTTACAGACCTTCGAGTCCCTTAAGCTAGCGCGAGGTTCACTTGAAAAGGAGTCACTTCTTCAACCACATTTACAGCTGTGTCGCAAGTCCAAGTGGCTCTGGCTACATCCAAGAAGCGCGCGTTTGCGCGGCGGCAGGTTTCCTTGGGAATTGTGGTAGCGGGTTCAATGTTTTACAATTCTACTGCCATAGTTTTTCTCAGTTGACGACACGTGGCTGAGGTGATAGTTCTAGACCTCCGCTGCGTCATTTAGCGGACGTGACTCATGCTGAGACGCCAACTGTGCATCTCTGGAATTCAGAAGTAGAAAAAACAAAGTCAAAGCATTGGCCAGGAATTGCTTGACGTAGATTGCTTTTCGTTACAACGGAAGTTGTTCTAGTGATTTGGTCAGCATCCTGCTTGACGTAAGTGTTCAGTTGTGACGAAATTTCTGATGAAATGACAAATATGAACAATTGTCTTTGATGCTTGCGTAGACTCAGGGAAGTAGCCTTCAGTAGGTCTCGTCTTCAGATGACTGAGATAACCTCACCAGGTTGCGTTTCTTCGACTTATAACATTCGAGAGCTATCGTGACTTACTGTGGGGCAGCGAAGTGGGAGTAATCGAGATTATGGACCGGACCACCTTCACGGGAGGAGACAGACATCGGATGCGGAATGCATCTTCACAAGCAAGCTTTCCTTGGCTATAATCGTACGTTAAAGTTCCGCAGAAAAGTACGCGCACCTGAGCTTTTTGAGATTTTTTTCCTGCGGTTTTGACCTAGCACTTGGCGTATGATATGGCATCTGTGAAGGCTTTGAAGCACCCATTTTACTCTGAAAATTCAGTGTCGGATCTGTTTGCGGGCGTTTTCGCGATCGGATCATTTAACTACGCACGTCCGTA